GTAAGGCACAGACACCTTAGCTCTGCTTCTTGTAACTCAGTGGAATGAATGTCAGCTTCTGAGAGGATGCCAAAGAGATCACCAACAGGCCTTCTCAATTCTGTCTCAATTCTTGTTTGAAATGATTGTAGATTAATAGGATGTTGTAAAAATAGGAGAGAGGTCCCTTTCTCTCAGCCTCCCCAATGGGAACGTTTTTACATAGTAATAGTACCAACTCAAAATCTCAGGTTTTAACACAAACTTGGCACAACCGAGGAGGTGAAGGGCTGGTGAAGACACCAGCACTTCCCATGGATTCTCCCAGAATCTGCACGAAAGTAAAGAGCATCATGCTTTAAGCATTCCTTGACCCCCTTCCTGAGGGCAGATAGGCAGGCATGGACAGAAAGTCAGAAACCAGGGAACCAAAAGGAGGCTGCAGTTTGCTTTCCTGAGGTCAAGAAATACAAACAAAGCAGGTCTGCTAGCCCAGTGCTGCAACATTGTGTCCAATAATGAAAAACAGTCACATCCCCAATGCATGAGTTCAGTTCTCACACAATAAGACAAATGTAGCTGATATTGTTATATCAGAGAAGAATACTTTTTATCAGGGTAAATATAAAGCATAGGTTAACACTGGCTACCCTTATTTTTTGAAACAAGGTCTTGATATGTATCCCAGGCTAGCCTTGAACTCATTGTTCTCCTATTTCAGCCTCCTGAATTTCAGGTGTAAGCCACCATACCCAACTAACAATGGCTATCTTTAAGCAATGGAATTACTGGTGGTTTTGTTGTTGTTGTTTTGTTTTGTTTGCCAGTCCTGGGGCTTGAACTCAGGGCCTAGGAATTGTCTCTACGCTTCTTTTACTCAAGACTAGCACTTTACCACTTGACACAGCGCCACTTCTGGCTTTTTCTGTTTATGTGGTACTGAGGACTTGAACCCAGGGCTTCATGCATGCTACGCACTAAGCACTAAGCACTCCACTACTAAGCCACATTCTCAACCCTACTGGTGATGTTTATTTGCTCTCCATACCTTATAAAATTTATACCTTGAGTGTATATTACTATCATAATTTTTAAATGGATTATTATCAGACCTATTTCCTGCCTTGATACAGCACCATCTGGGGCTCCCTGCAGCTGCTGGTTTTGAGAGGAGATGGAAAAAGAAGGGAAGTCTGCTATCCTCTGAGATAGGGGTGAGGGGAGAGGAGACAGTGATTACATTCTCCAAGTAAAAGGCATGGCAACACAGTATGGTCTGGTCCTCAGTGGCCCAGGAACAGCAAGCAGATAATCTAGTGGCTAGTAAAATTCCAGAGTCATGTTCAAGCCAGCCACTCTCCCCCACCCACCACTTGGGGCAGCTTCCTATCTGCTCACGTATATCCAGCCCTCTTCACGTCAGCCCAGGAGCTCCTGTAGGGGCAAGGCTGTAGCATGCTTTGCCCTGAGTACAACCCAGGGCTTAGCTGGCCCAATGTAAATAGACAAGTAGATGGATGGAGAGAAAGATAGTCACCTGTCTAGTTACCCTATCTTCCATCTCCATCTGCTAGCTCTGATGCCTCTTCCTCCAGGATGCCCTTGCTGAGCCCCCAATTGCCCACACTGTCCCCCATGGTAATCTTAGTCTGCCTTGCACCCAGAGAATGGGACTCAGAGCTGGGTTCCTCCATCAGGGCATAAGCTTTAGAGGCAACGTCAATGTCCCTGTCCACTCTGGGTCTCCAGTGGATTCTGCAGCATGGGCTCAGCACCAAGGAACAGTGACTCAATACCCTGCAAGAAGAGAAAGGTTCCTTTCCCCCAAGACTGCTGGATCCTGACTGGAGCAGGGGGGGGGGGGGAGTTCCTGCCTCCCTCCTCCTGCTAAGAGATGAAGCCCCCATAGCCCCAGGCTCATGTACACCCCCAGCCCATCAGCTGGTTCTTCTGACTTGCTCCAAGTCATGGTCACGAGGGGACCAGAGAGGGCCTGTGACTCAGCCCTATTCATCACCATAATGGAAAAACCCAGTCACCTGTCCTCCTGGCAGCGCTGTGTATGCATCTGGAAGGGCAGCAAACCACATGGTTCCCAAGGTCCTTTTGTCTTCCACCTGCTGAGAAATCAAAGGCAAAGGCTTGACGGAAAACCCCTGGCTGATACTGAGAGTTTACAGTGTAAGGCAGTAATCAGTGACCAGGGACCATATTTCCCTTCCTATTAGGCTTAGAGGTAGGAGTCCATAAGCATTCTCTTGTAAAGCCTTCATGAGTCTGCTGTTACACAAAGTGGACACAGGTCACTTGTTTGGTCACCAGCATCCACCATATCTTTTCTACAAGGCAGAGCCCACCTCTCATAGAGAACCTGGAAACCACTCTTCCCAGCCTCCTTTGAAGCTTCATTTGATGGCCTCATCTGACTTGTCCAGTCAGAAGTTCTGACTTCTCCAGACTGTGAATTAGAAACTGGAGCACAGGACCAGTACAAGACCACCCAGAATCCATTTGGTGATGTTGGCAGCACGGGTTCCAGATATCACTGTCCATGTTTATGGGAAGTACCAGCCACAGTGTCTGTGCCAGGCAATGGTAGTATGGTTTTAACATCATTCCAGAACTTCAGTGTCAGGCCTGGCTCATTTGATCCCAAGGATTGTCTGTCCTCCTTTTAACAAAGCTCTTTTCTGTTTCAATCAGCCAGAGTGAGCCTCTGCTTCTTACCCCTGCTACCTGCCTGACACATTAGCTCCCCATGCCAGATGGAGAAATGAAGGCTTTTCTCCAACCTTGTTGTTGGAGACCATTCTGCAAGGCAGTGACTTATGAAGGAAGCATCTTTCAGGAGCAAGGCCAGGGGACATGTCTGAGGCTTCCTCTGTCCCAGGCACCAGCTTGCCCTTCTGCAGTCTTCTAGGATCCGTGTTCAAAAATAAAGGAATTGGGGATTTAGCTCTGTGGAAGAGCATTGCCTGGCAAGTGCAAGGCCATGAGTTTGGTCCTCAGCTCTGGAATAAATATAAAATAGAATACCCAGCCTGTCCCCAAGCAGCACAAGTTCCTCCCCTCCTTCTAGGGGGGCGGGGAGGATGAAGGGAACCCCATGGGACTGGGATTGCTGGTCCTCCATTCTGCTGGGCAGCAGGGACCCTTGTGCCTAGTGTGACTGACTGGGCCTGTTCCCACAGCACCTGCGCTGGTTGCAGTGCCAGAGTTCTTGCGGCTGCATTTCTTCATCATCCAACAAGTCTCGGGTACAAGGGTTCCAGTCTGAATACTTTTAAGTGATCAGAGCCAAGCAGATTGCTGGCATCAGTTCAAGGCTGTTAACAATGCCATACCTTACACACGCAGACCTGACATAGTACCCTTGCTCTAGCTGGGCAGCCTTCACACCCTCTAGCTGGTTTTTCTCAAGGAGTTCAGACCAGGCAAGACCTCGTGGATTAGAACATCAGCGATGTACTTGGCTAATGACTAGATCTGAAATTATTGCAAAGGGCCGAACTCAGGAGAGCTGAAAAAATTTTAATGTAATTATGATAGCTTCATCATCAATAACAATAGCCATTTATCAAAGATTTAAATTGTGTCTGGCACTATGCTAAGCATTTTCTTCACATTCCCCCCCCCCCTCCACCCCAAGCCCTCTCAGTCCTGGAGATTGAACCCAAAGCTTAGGGAAGCAGAGTTCAATCATTTCTTAGAACCCTCTGAGTTCAGACCTATCCCAGTATCACACTGACTGACATGAGAGGCTTAGAGAGGGGGACTAACTGGATAGACATCACACAGTCAGGAAATTGTGGATCTAGACTGTGTTTTAAGGACTGAATCCTGATTTCTATGTACAGAACCACAGCCTAGCCAAAGGAATACGTTTTAAAGATGGAACTGTCTTCCATGGAGAGGCAGGAATTTCCAGACCATGTGCAAAAGGCCGAGCTTGCTACATCCCAGGCCAGAGATGAGTGACCAGCAAAACCTTACCGCTCTCTTAGCTGGCAGGTGCACCAACTCACAGAGACTGCAGCTAAAGCCCGTCAAAAGGTCTGCAGGACACCTGCAGCAACACTTTCTTAACCGATCAGGCTGGGGCACAGCGAGGAACAGAGGAACAGAGCCCTGCCCACCACAGGGACACTGTGGATGGAACTTCGATCTCTGGCCCGCATCTCGATCTGGACCAGATTAATTTTGGTTCATCTGACTTTCATAGAGCAGAACTACACCCAGGGCCTTTGGGCTTTCCTTGGAGGGGGGGTGGGGGGCTCTGGAAGGGGGTGGGCCTAGGCTAGAGCAGGGAGAGGCTCAGATAATGGAGGAGGAACAGAACTCAGCCACAGTCTAGGCGGTACCCCCAGGCTCAGCCAGAACTATGCCAGGAGACAGCATCCCCCCCCCACCCCCCCGCCGCCAATAAACTCCAGATCTGAGAATGGTATGGGACAGACGATGCCCCCAAGAGCTCCTGGGGCCCTAGTTCTTCCTAAGACCCCCCCCACAAATATACACACACTGGGAGGTGGGGGACTTTTTCTCCAACAGTTCTCAGCTGGCAAAATCCAAGGGAGAGAGGATGCAGGGAGGAAGGCAGGAGGGTGTCCACAAGTCAACGAGGCCGGGGTCCCCTGGGGAGTCCAAACAAAGACGGGTGATGCCTCGCGGTGACAAGGGCCTGGAGCTGCGGGCAGGGCCGCGTGCCGCCTCCCCGAGCCTCCGCGGCCGCACCCGGTCTCCGAACGCCCGCGGGAGGTGAGGGGCCAGCAGCAGGTCTCAGATGGCCGGGGGTCTCCGCCAGGTTCTCGCGCGGCGGAGTTCGGCTGACCTTCCCGCCCGCCCGCCCACCCAGCGCCTCGGCCGCAGCAGGAGGCGGAAGCCGGGCTCCCAGGACCGAGTCCAGCTCCCCCTGGAGGCCCGGCGCCCACGCCCACCGCGCCCCGAGGGGCCGCCCCGCCCCGCCCCGGTGGCGCGCCGCCCCCTCCCGCCCCCATCCTCGCCCCAGCCCGCAGCCGCGGCTTCGGCGAGGGGCGCGGGCGACCGGGTATCTGCACGCGCGTTGGCGGCGGCACCGAGGCCCGACTCCCGCCTGCGCGTCCGTCCGTCCCGCTGCACGTCCCCGGTGAGTCGCCGCGCCCTCGCCCCAGCCTCCCGGCCTCCGCTCCCCTCGTCCTCCGGGCGCCCCCAGGCCCCAGCGCGGCCCTGCACCTGCTCCCCCGGGCCCCATTCCGCCCCCGCGGGGGTGGCGCCTCCCCACCCCTGCCCTCCCGTCCTCTCAGGGACCCCCCCCCCGAGGACCGCGCCCCCCTTCCGATGCCTGGGGACGGCGAGCTTTTGTTCGGGAGTGGGGCGCAGGCCCCCTCCCCCGGTGGCTCACTCCCTCCGCCCCCCGGACTTCACCCGGACCAGGTGGCAGCGGGCGCCTTTTGGGGGTGCGCGGCCGTGCAATTGGTGGATTTTTTTAAACCGTGGTGGAGGGGGCGGCGGGCGCGCGCGGGTGCCGGCTGCTGCTCGCGCTCGGCTCCGGCTCTCCCGCGGCTGCCGTCGGCGTCTCCCGCGCGCCCCGCCCCGGCCCCCGGTCTCCGCCGGCCCAGCGCCTCCCCGACGACGCAGGCCCCGCCGGGCAGCGCCGGGCGCCGAGATGAAGGTGCTGGGACACAGACTCGAACTGCTGACAGGTACCGCGGCCCTGCCCCGCCGCCGCCGGCCACTTCCCGAATCTGAGCTGGTCACTGGATTTCTAGCTCCGGTGCTACCTGCTCTGGGGCGCGGGTTCTCCCGGGAGAGAACCCACTCCCGTGCTCCTCCCGGCTCCGCGCCCCGAATCCCCGACGCCAGCGTCCCGGGCGGGTAGAGCGCGCGGATCGATGGATCGAGCGACCGCGGGGCTGCGCAGCTCCCCCTGGGGCGGCAACGCGAGTCAGGATCCCGGAGGGGACCGACTGGCAGTCCCAGCCTGGTCTCCTGACAGGACGCCACGGCCTCTCCCGGGGACGGTCTTGGGGATGGGGATGGGAGTGGAGAAGTTTCTTGTTGGGAGTAGGAGCCAAGTGGTCTGGAAGTGGCCATCCCGATTAGAGCGTGAGGACTGGGATCCCTCCGCAGAAGTGACCACTACCCCTGCCTACCCCTGTTTGGAAACCTGCATCCGGGAGGCCATGCTGGAGTGCCTCAGAGATCCAGGGAACGGGAAGGAGGGACGGGGATGGGGGTGGGGGGACCGAGGGTGGGAAATCCCAGCCAGACGGGAAGACTGGTAGGTAACACTCGTAGCATGTGTGTTCTTCCCTGGGTCGGAGTAGGAGAGAGCCACGAAGGAGGCAGAGCCCCGGCCCAACCAGGGAACAAGCTCGTTCCAGTAGGTGTCCTCCGGCACCCAGGTTTCTGTCCTCAGGGCCCTTATTACCTTTGGAGACCAGAGCCCTATTTATTATAGAGTAGGTGAGACAGAGTCTGAGTGCACTCAGAACAGGCTGGGGTCTGGAAGAGGGACAGGAAGGGAGCGGAGAGGTTAGAGCCTGTGACAGAATCTGCAGACCCAATAACAGGATTTCTGTTCATGGAGAGGGAGGTGGACTCAGGTAGGACTGGCCCGGGTTTCCCGGTGCAGGAGAAGCTTGGTGTCTGAGCGCTGCGGCAGCGGCGGAGCCTGAACATGTGTTCCTATGTGTTCAAATGAGGGTTTGGGTTGTTGTCAATCAACAGTGGGGTTGTGGTAGGGACAGGTGGAGATTGCTTTGGGGTCCCGAAAATCCCAGCTGGGCACTCTTGGCAGCCCTCCTTTCCCTGTTCCTTGTCAGCTTTTCCTTGAGTTCACACGAGGCAGGTCTGGGTGCCAGGAATCTTGAGGGAGCTTCATGGAGACGGAACTTGTAAACCCCAGGAGGGAAAGTCTGTATGTCCTGGGAGACTTAGAGCCCTGCCAGGAGGGCAGACCAGATCCTCTTAGCTGTCCTGACAATGAAGGACTGGCAGGTGGCTGGCAAGGACTCTGGATCTGTCCTCACCATGCTTCATCCCTGCTCATGGATTCCTGGGAGATTTTGCCTAGTTCCTCTTTGGATGATAAAGAGGTCACAGGGTGATGGTGGATTTATTGAATGCAGTCTTAGCCTGCTCATCAGCTGTGCCACCAGAATGATTCTGTAGAAGCTTTTAGCCCAACCTCAGCCTTAGGAAATTTAAAAAAAAAAAAGATGCACATCGTCCTGGTTCTGTACAGTTTTTCCTCTCTTACCCAAGCAGTGTCGCTTCCTTATGCTCACACAGCCAAGGAGAAGAGTGCTGGATGCAAACCTGAGAGCTGAGCCATGCCATGCTACCTGCCCTGCTCTGGGCCAGTCTCCTCATCAAGAAAATGGGGTCATGGTAGTACCTTTGGAGTTGAGTTCTTCAGCAATCAGATGTGAGCATGCATATCAAGGGTTGAGCACGACATTTGGCCGTGGGCAACAAGTGACAATTGAAGGGCTGTGGTCCCTCAGCTGCTTGGGGTCCTCCCTATCCTGGGGGTGCCTGCCCCTCTGCTCCAGCATCCCACATCCCTTCCTCCAGCGTGTCCCAGCCTGTTCACTAGGTTCTCTCCACCATCTAGATCTCTCAGATGTGGTCCCAGGGGAGACCTACTGAGGTCCCATGGCATGGGACAGAGTAGGGGCTGGCATCTGGGGTTGGATCCTTCTAGCCAGATATCCACAACTCCGATGAGAAGAAGTGGGGGGTGCCCCTCACATGGAGCTCAAAGGGTGTCCATGAGTTGTCAAGCCCAGGTTCAGGGTGCCGCTTTGTTCTGGAGGGAAGAGGGCAGTGGTGAGGTCATCTGAGCCCCTCTGGTCACTGGTGCTTCTGGCAGCCTGTGTTTCTGACTCCCAAGGAAGACAGGGATTTTGCAGTCTGCGGATGTGGTTCTCAGGGTCTTATCCCAACCATTCAGCTCTCAGGCAAATCGTTCACTTCTTTTGAGGCCCAGCCTTATTAGTGAAATGAGCCAGGTGCCAGTGGCTCATACCTATATCAGCTACTCCAGCAATCCATGAGCAGCTAAGAGGCTGAGATCTAAAAAATCATGGTTCAGAGCCAGCCTGGGCAGACAAAGTCTGTGAGACTCTTATCTGCAGTTAAACAGCAAAGAGTCAGAAGTATAGGCATGGTCCAAATGATTAAAAACATGAGTCAAAGCCTGGAGTTCAAGCCCGAGTACCAGCACAAAAAAAGCAACAATAGCTGGGTAGGAGGGTCTTCCCTCCCGAGCATGGTAAAGAGGGATACTATGAATGAGTCCAGGTCTCCGTCACATCTATATACACGTGCCTCAATGCGCAGAGGGCCAGTGCCAGTGCCTTGGGTGGCTGGGAGATTTAATTTTTCTGTGCAAGGTGGGAAGGTGGGCTATGAGTGTGTTTGCATACTGGAAGGCAGTTTTTCGGTGCATTTGCACTTAACATTTTTCCAAGTCTATTCTGTGTGAAAGAGCTTTAAACTGGCAGGTTGAGGTGTCTGTATGATCCCTTAGGAGCCTCAGTGTTAGATCTTGGCAATTAAAAAAAAAATGTGTGGTTAAAAAAATAAGTCTTAGGCGCTGGTGACTCACACCTGTAATCCCAACTACTCAGGGGGCTGAGATCTGAGGATCATGGTTCCAAGCTAGCCAGGGCAGAAAAAATCTATAAGACTCTTACATCCAATAAACTACTAGGAAAAAGCCGGAAGTGGTGCTGTGTCTCAAGTGGTAGAGTGCTATCCTTGTGCATAAAGAGTCTCAGGGACAGTGCACAGGCCCTGAGTTCAAGCCCCAGGACTGGCAAAAAAAAAAAAATCTTGCTAGTTCTGTGTAGAGTTTTGGTTTTACTTTAATTCACAGAATACATAACCTTACAGTTTTGCAGTGGGTTGATCTGCATTTTACGTGAGGGGGAAACTGAGGCATGGATTTGCCCTTACAGTCTGGACATAGGATGTCAAGTTTTCATTTCTAGTTCATCCTTCTCAGCATACACCATGGGTGCTGGCTCTCTGCAGTGGGGGCACAAGTTGGCAGGTGTCCAGGACTTCAGCCTGGTGGGCATACGACTCCTTGCCTCACACAGGGGGAAAACTGGTACTGCCATCATGAAGGGCAGATTGCCAGTGATGTATCAAAAAGTATGTGTGACTGTGACTCAGCAGCTGAGTTTATAGGAACAAATAAGGAGGTGCGCAGAGGTGTCTTCTCAAGGATGTTTGTCCTGTCATTATTAATAGAGGAGGAAAGTGGCTCAGCCTAGTGTGCCCGCAGACCTGGAAACCCACAGTGCACACCCAGATTGTTTATCCACCCAGACAGATGTTCCCTTACACACGTGTTCTAACAACGGTGATGGCAGGCTATGCTAGATGGCATTTATTCCTGTGCCAGGCTCAGTCCTCAGCACTTTCTATATGTTAGCAAGTCATCATAGCAACCATATGAAGTAATATATTTTCATTCCCTAATTTTTTGTTACATGGGATTGGTTAGGTCTTAGCACACTGTGATGATGTGAAAGGGAGAGTCAGGGTGGCCTGAGGTGGCTTGTAGGTCCGCTTGTCATCATAGCTTGGGTTTGCCTTTGCGGTGCCTTCCGTGGAGGAGACCTGCCTTCCTTGGAGTTAGCATTAGTGTGCACTAGCGAACACCGGTCTCTAAGTCTAGGAGGTCCTCTGAGCCCACGCTGGGGCAGGCTGGCTGCCCAAATGTGCTTGCCACTGGCGTAGGAGGGTCCTGGACTTCTTCACTCAGCCCCTGAAGACCATGCAGGAAAATAATAACTTCAGAAGTCATTTAGGTTTCTCAGTTGCAAGCGACTGAACAGAATTTAGACTGATACTAGCAGGAACAGGGAGTGTCTGCATCCAGCAAGTACGCACAGGCTACCAGGCTCCATCTCTCCTCCCCTGATTCCCCTGATAGCTCCGTGGTTTGGATCTTAGTGATTCTTTTCTTCTTTTCTCTCTCTCTCTCTCTCTCTCTCTCTCTCTCTCTGTGTGTGTGTGTGTGTGTGTGTGTGTGTGTGTGTGTGTGTGTGTTTCTGGGGTTGAATGCAGTGCCTGTGCATTTTAGGCACCTGAGCTACATCCCAGCCCTTTTGCTTGCATTTTCTTTTT